GTTCTTGCATGAGGCCCAATTATTCTATTCTAAATGCAGAATCAATCCAACTGCTTGAAATTTGTGGAATTGTTTCTTTTTGTGAAAAGCCATAAAACAGAGATTTTCAGTGTGTTTTTGACATCTGAACAACTTTAGAACTGGTCCAGTTCCAAAACACCAAAACTTTAAACCTGGACTAAATTATTATATGTTTACAATCAAACTCAGTGATATTCATTTAGATCACATTGGAACTGGTTAAAAACKATGACAAAAGGAGTTTAAATCTGGGCTAATAGTAAAATCAGTCAAACGCAGTTTGTGAAACTTTGATTTTATTTGTGAAAGTTAAAGAAACGACCAACATCTAACATCCCTCATACAGTCATACGAAAAAAATTTGGGCAGCCTTGTTAATTTTCCTGATTTACCTTTATAAATCATTGATTGTTTGGATAAAAAAAAATCAGTTAAATATATCATATAGGGGACAAACACAGTGATTTTATTGTCACGCCTGCAGCACCAAATAGGCATTGGTAGCACTGCTCTGGAGTGGTTAAGGTCCTATCTGGCAGACAGAACATTTTCTGTAAAAACTGCATGGTTTGAATCGTCCTCTGCCTCTCTGCCATGTAGGGTTCCCCAGGGCTCAATTCTGGGACCTTTGCTCTTTTCTTTGTATCTCCTTCCTTTTTAATTTTTAGAAAACACAGCATCTCCTTTCATTGTTATGCTGATGACTGCCAAATCTATGTGTCTCTAAGACGAGCTAATGTCTGGTCCATTGATCTTCTTCTATTATGTCTCAAGGCTCTCAAAGCTTGGATGGCCTTGAATTTTCTGCATTTTGATGAAAAAAAGACTGAGGTGCTTGTTTTTGGACCTAGTGGAGCATGCCAGAGTCCTTCATTCAACTTAGATCTTCTAGCACCATACCTCAGGTCCACAGTCACAAACCTAGGGTTTAAGATGGACAGTGATTATAAACTCAACAATCAAATTAAGGCCACAGTGAAATCTAGTTTTTATCACCTGCGGAAAACAGCCAAGATAAAACCTATTCTGTCAAACCATCAGTTTAAAACAGTAATCAATGCCTTCATTGCATCACGGCTGGATTACTGTAATTCCCTTTATTTTGGTGCTAGCCAGTCATCCCTCACTCGTCTGCAGCTGGTGCAGAATGCCGCTGCCCGTCTTTTGATGGGAACACGTAGGAGACAACATATGACCCATCATGGCCTCTATCCACATTTTATAATTCATTTTAAAATTCTTTTGTTTGTTTTTAAGGTTTTAAATGGCCTTGCTCCGCCATATTTAACAGAGCTCCTCCATCACTACACTCCCTCTCGGTCCCTTAGGTCTGCTGACCAGCTGCTCCTGGCCTTTCCCACCTGTAAGAGGAAGTTTAGAGGACAAACAGCTTTCTCTGTTTGTGGCCCTAAGCTCTGGAACGCTTTACCATTGTTCATCCGACAGGCCCCCCATTGTCCATTTTTAAGACCCGTATGAAGGCTCATTTTTACTTATTGGCCTTCAACCCAATTGAGACTTGATTTTATTTAATTTTAGTGATTTTATCTGTTTTTATCTTCTTTTGTTTTTGTTTTTTGCTGATGTCCAGCACTTAGTTCAGCTGTAGCTGAACTAAGTGCTGGACACTTGTGTAGGTGCTTTATAAATAAGCAAGTGTAGGTGCTTTATAAATAAAGTTGTTGATGATGATGATGACATTTGAGAAGTGAAATGAAGTTTATATGATTTACAGAAAGTGTGCAATAATTAGTTGAACGAAATTAGGCAGGTGCATAAATTTGGGCACCAAAAACAAAAAAAGAAAAAAAAGAACAAAAC